AGTTACAGTTCTGGAATGAGGATGGGGATGAGTAGTATATGATGTAAGGAAGCTTTAGGAACCGGTGCTTGATTCTTCCAACAATCTTATCAATAAGATTCATGTAGTGATGTATGGATAACTGTTTACTAGTCAGTGGAACCCCCAAGTATTTGAAAGGCAGTGGTCATTCAATAAAAGTTATCATCCTTTTAATATCCTCCTTAGTTTTCTCATCAACTCCACCAAAGTAGACTATGCATTTTCTAGGATTTACAATCAAGCCAGTTGACATAGAAAAATTATTTAAGGCTTTCATCATTAACTCCACTGACTTGTAATCTCCTCTTGCAACCATCAACACATCATTTGCAAAATCCATGTTATTTATGTTCAATTTCTCACATTTTACATGATGGTTAAAGTCGGGATCCCTCTCATTTTGTGTAGCAACATGTTCAAGTATTCTATGATGATAACAAAAATCAAAGAGGACATGGGGATCCCTTGCCTAATCCCACTCCATGCTCGCATCACTTTGGTATAAGTTCCATTTATATTGAACCTGTAGCCACATAGGTGACTGTAACCATGGTCCACCTAATAAATTGATTATGCATACCTATCTCCTTAAGGATGCACTCTAAAGCTTTCCACTCTACCATATCATAAGATTTTTGTAGGTTCAACTGCATCATACACCTAGGAGTACCTCTCTTCCTAATGTAGGGTTTTATCAAATCATAAGAAAGCAAAATGTGGTTGCGGATATACCATCCAAGGACAAAAGCAGCCTGCCAAGGACTTATAATGCTTCCAAGTACCTTCCCTAGTCTAGTTGTAAGCACTTTGGAGATAATCTTGTACAAGGTATTACAACCAACAATTGGCCTAAAATATTTAATGGATGTAGCCTCATCACTTTTGGGAATGATTGTTACCACAATACTATTAAAAGCTTTGTAGAATCTCTCATTCTCAAAGAAGTCCATAACTGTTGCAATCACAATAACTTTAATAGTCTGCCAGCTTGCTTTGAAAAATATTGCACCATATCCATCAATGCCAGGTGCCTTAATATCACAAATACCATTTAGAGATTTTAAGATCTCTTGCTCGTTGACAGGGGAAATAAGGCTCTCTCTCTTTGCTTCATGCTCAATTGATTACCATCTCTTATGGTTGCACCATCAATGTGGATCAAGTTGCTGTCACTCTTTCCCATCAAGCTTCAATAATATTCCAAAATAACTTCCTCAATCTCAGCTTGTGTTGTAACTTTGGTTCCATCTTCTTTATAAAGCACACACACACTCTTGGCATGATGTTTAGATTTAAGTGATGCATGGAAGTAGGAGTTATTGTCATCCCCCAACCTTAACCACTTATCTTCGCCTTCTGCTTTAGGACACTCTTCGGTATATTTCTTGACCTCCTCAATCTTGTGGCTGTTCATCTTATCATTAATGAACTCTTATTGGGCCTTCAAAAGATTAGACCCGACTTTGAGAATATTTTGCTTCAAGTTCAGAAGGGGCTTACTCAGATTCCTCAAGTCATTTTACAATCTTTTCTATTTTTCTCACATCACATACATAGGTCTTCCTATCAAACGTTCCCTCCAGCTTTTAGAGACATTTTCTACATAACTGTAACACCCCATTTCTACCCAACAAATTATATAAAATCAGAGTTACAAAATTTCCAACAAACAAATGGAATTCTACACTTTCAACTTAGAAACAATGATATTCAATCACCTGTATTTCAGATACATAACACATAAAATTCGGATAAATCAATAATAACCTGTTTAGTCTTTAAAAAAAATAAAACAACTTTCGTTGCTACGCAGCAGATTCACAAATTCATCTCAAATGACATAACATCTTTGTCCAACTGAAAACAACTTTAGAAACAACAAAGTACTTAGTAAATCAATTTAAAATTCAACAACTGAAGTATTGACAACAATAAAGCAACAAGTGTTCATCCCCCCGAGTGTTATGTATCAGAGCAACGACACCGACTCGAACTACTGAAGGTAAACAACATTCACTCTAGATTACCTGCACGTTACCAACATAGGAGTAACATTCAAACATAAGGGGTGGGATATCAAACAATATAATAGGATGTATGAGAAATAATGTATTAGAATTAGATTACGCAAAATCACCACTTCACAACTATAAACAACATCAAACACAACAAAACATCAACAAAATATAACAAATAATTCATCATCACAACAAGTTAAATATGCGACATGGAATGTGACTCGTTACGATGCAAATGCATATTGTACCAATAGAGTAAAACTCCCAACTTAATATCTTGCCAATTAAAAAGGCAGCAATAAGGCATAAGCCTTCAACTTAATATCTTGCTAGTCCAGGCCAACTTACCGAGCATGAGCTCCCAACTTGTTATGCTATGTATGTGACAACATTATGAAACACAACAACAACTACAACATCAACCATTCAACAACAACAACAATCCAACGACAACTCAACCATAATTCAACATTGGCCAAAAGCCTACAACTTATCTGCCAAGAATTAGAGGCATTTCAACAACATCAGTATATCCTGCAACTTCGCATCATCAACAATATTGACATTACAATAATATAGTAAAATTCACAAATACAATCGAACCCCATCCAATAACACTACATAATTATTCATCTATACGTCTATATTCGGTTATTAGACGTTCTACGACGGTTCCTCTAATATTAACCGGCTGCAACTATTATATAAGCTAGTACTTCTATCAACAATTTCTACTACTGCTAGTGCTACTAATTAATTATCTACTGTTGTTTTATTGCTAATAGCTTTCTGTTACTATTTCACAATTAACTCCTACTGTCAACTTATTCCTGCTACATGTACTATGCTATTATACTGTTAATAATTTTCTGATAAGGTTCCTGCAATTACATCCTACTACTATGAATTACCTCCTACTACCATGAATTATCTCTGCTATTGTCTTATTGTTAATAGCCTACAACTTGGTTTTAGCCAATCATTACAGGCAACACAACAAAATTCATCACTATCTGCAACTTCAACAATTAATAACAACAAAATCACAACAACTTATATATATATATATATATATATATATATATATATATATATATATATATATATATATATATATATATATATATATATATATATATATATATATATATATATATATATATATATATATATCCACCAAGTCCTATTAATTCACTTCTACTAAAATATTCTACTGATGAACCCTAGTAATCAATGTCCGCTAAACATCTACTACTCTTATTTTCCATAAATTACTACTACAAATGATTACCTTTGCTACTATTTTAATTTATAGAGGTTTTTCTGTTATTATTTTCCTACTACTATTGTTAAGGTTATCCTTCTAAATACTTACTAACTATATAATCCAATCATCTATTTTATTACTCTGCTATATGAGTCAGTTCTATAATTTGTATACTTAATCTCTACTATTAACCAATTAATAGAATAAGGTAACAGACACACAGGAAACAGAGCAGACAAAAGAAAACAGAAAACAGATGTTTATAGTGTGCCCCTCGTCACCCAATTGTGCCCCTCGACACAAATCTAAAAGACCATGTCGCTCGTCATGGAGTTGTGCTGCTCGGCACACTCCTATGTATACATGGTGTCGGTCGGCATGCTCGTGTGCCCCTCACGCAGCTTCTTCACAGGCTTACTGATTCAAACACATAATTCTCCAAATCTTCCTTCGATTAACAATATTTTCACAACAATATGATCCACACAATATTACATCGACATAGCAATATAACAACTATATCAACAATATTATAATTTCCAACAACAGATGGTTAATTCTACGAACAATTCAGGAACATCCACAACATGATAACAACATGATAACAAACAATTTCAGAAACAACAACAACAGCAACATACGCACAACAACATTACACCAACCCAGTTCTACATACTATTCATGATAATTTCCATTATAGAGTCAGAACCCCACTCTTATCTTAGATTGAAAGTTGCTTTGTAACTCTACGATTGACTCCTAGATTTTCTTCTTGCTAGCAATTTTACGTAACTCTTTCTTCTCCAAACCCTTATTCCTCTTCTATGATAACACATTTTTCCTTTACTGCTACTTTTCTTTGTCTTTCTCTTATCAACTAACCAATATAATAATATATTATTATTATTCTATTTGTCTTATTTAATCTTTTAGGCCTCATTTCGACACCTCCACTATTCCTACTTCTAACTATTGAAAGCCCATTTAATTAGTAATAGTATTATTGTAATACTATTTCTACAACTTAATCAAATAAATTAATACAAATAACAACAACACAACTTAAGTCAATATTCCACAACTTCGACAATTAAATCGAAAAATATTCGTGCTCAATCCTAGTATTGAGGTGAGCATACTCTACTTTAATTATCATCTTTTCCCCAATCCTATTTTAAGCCTCGGCCACATTGTTAAAAATCCTAAGTAAGCACCATGCAATCTCTCATTGTCATTCCATAATATTCTTCTTTGCTCAAGTTTTATTCCATAATATCAAACTAACTATTTTATTAACTAAACACGCGTTAATCCAATTCAACGTTTCAAAATTTAAAATATTATTTTATGCAAAGAAATCAAATATTTAATTCAGTGAAGAAATAACTATTTTCTATCACAACTGATATATCTGACAATTTACGCTTTTTCCAGACTGTCACCATCGGAGTTATTACTATTTCTAAACATTACGTTTCACAACAAAATAATCAAAAAAAGAAGAAAAAAATAAATAAAAAAAACTAGAAATAAAATAAATAAAAATAAAAATGACATTCATTCTCTGTGTGTTTGTTTCAGGCCTGGTTCGTTGTTGTTAACTTAACCAGGTCTCAACAAGCTCCAATTCCTTTTCCAATTTCATCTCGCATTCTCTCTTTTTCCCTTTCAATTCTCGTACATTTTCTTCAACAATGAACGATCTTCTAACGGTAATCTTCAATTGAATTTTTTTTAATTTTGTTTTAGTTCCGTTGATTCGATTTTTGTGTACTTTTATGTTTTTTTTTCAGATCTAGGGTTTTGCATGATGTGTACTAGTCTTGTTTTTGGATTTGACTAGTTTTTGTTTTCGTTTGGTCTCATGCTTGTTTGCCAAGAAATTGGATTTGGAAAATATTGATGGATTTTTAGGTTTTGAGAGAGATTTATATATATGAGTTATACTGCATTGTAGTTGGATTTGGATGCTGGTTAATTTTGCTGGATTTTTCATGGTTTGCAATGCAAAATTTGATTACTATGTGTATTATTTTATAGTTTTATCAAATTTTAGCTGTTTCTGTTTTGGGATCTGCATTGATTTTTCTGTAATGTTTCATGTTTTGTATTGAATCGGTGTTTTGAGCACTGTCGACACCTCTGAAAAGAGGTGAGTCTGTGTTAGTGTCGGTGTCTGAAACTAACACCGAACTTATGATTACATTTAATTTATTCTTTTTTTCAAATTATTACCGGTTTCAACGTGTCAGTGTCGAATTGTCGGTGTCGTGATTGGTTATTTGAGTTATTTTATGGTTTTATCAAATTTTAGATTTTTTGTTTTGGAATGTGAGTTGATTTTTCTCTATGTTTTTGTATTGAATTGGTGTTTTGAGAAAGATTTGAAAACTGAATCAAATCAGTTGGTTAAACGAGTTTAAATTTGAACCGACAATGTCTACAATTTGGTTATTTGAGCTATTTTATAGTTTTATCAAATTTTTAGATGTTCCTGTTTTGGAATGTGCATTGATTTTTCTGTAAGGTTTGGTGTTTTTGTATTGAATCAGTGTTTAGAGAAAGTTTTGAAGACTGAATTGAATCAGATGGTTAAACGAGTTGAACTGTGAACCGCCGATGTCTACGGTTAGGTTATTTGAGCTATTTCATTGCGGTTTTGTTCCGTTTTGAGGAGTTTAAATCAGTTGAATCTTGACCTAGAGCCTTAAGGTGTTATTGATTTTGTCTGGTTTGATTTTTTAAATATTGGTTTTGAGATCTGTTTGGTTTATTAAAAAGCTAGAGGAGAAATAAAAACTATAGTAAGTGTTTCCATGAATAGTGACAGTTACATTAATCTAGATTTAATTGTTGTTTTGTCAACAATTGTTTGTGATTGTATACAATAAGAATTAAATAATAGTTTTTCAGTGGATTTGAATTCAAATCCTTTCCCTCTAGCCTCTTATCGGCATTAGAAAAGGTTAGCGGTTGAGCAGAGTCCAAATTCGGGTTATTAACTTATTAGTGGACATTTTTGGTAAAACATTAACTCAAGATATTCTGAACTATGACCCTTTTTGGTATGTACAATGTTCGTGAAATATTTACAGAGTTGTGTTTGCAATTGTTAATTTTCAATATGCTTGTGTTAAACGAAATTAGATTTATGATCCTGAATTATGCAATCACATCCATTTTCTCTTACCAATGTTGACGTGTCAGTGTCTCTGTGCTTCATAAGTTTTGAGTGTGAATTAAGTACTTCCATGGACTATGCTAAGAGGAAGATGCATAATACATATGCTCTGAAGAAAGTTCAAAGAACAATATTCATACCATTTTAGGTCTCTGTAAATACCTATCACTAAATAAACCTTATTAGTGCTAAAAACGTCTGGAAGTGAGGTCACGAGATAGTTGTTGAAATAGAATATTTATTCTGTTGGTCATACTTTCAATTTTACCGGCATCTAATATTGGTGTGTAGTTGCAGAAAAGGCGTCGATAGTTTAACTAGGATAGCCATATATATTAATTTGATGTTTCTTTTTCCAGGAGTCCTTTGATATCCCCCGTGGCCAAGGTCGTGGAGGTGGTGACGTTGAGTTGGGAGACTATGGAAGGAATTCAGGAGAGCTTGGCTTGGAAAGCTTCTTCAAAAAGGTGTTCATCTTTATTCATCTTATGAAAACAAGCCTTATTTAGTGGATGGTTTTAAGACTCATTTTGAATTATTTTCGTCTAACTCGCTGAATGTCCCTATGCTTTAATTGTTCAATAGATTCAAGAGCTTGATAAACAATATGCTAAGCTGAATAGCCTTTTGAGAAAGCTCCAGGTAAATTGAAACACTTATAAGTTGAAATGAAACTTGTTTTTATTTGTCTTCACTGCCCACCTTTTTTTATGAAAATCTGTATGCAGGACGCCCATGAGGAGTCCAAAAGTGTCTCCAAAGCTCCTGCTATGAAGGGTTAGTACGATATTGTTTAATCTTTTTTCGAACAATCTTTTGTATGTTTCATTACCTTTTATCTAGAAATGTGAAAATAGATACTCCTTTTATGAGTCCTTCAACACTTAAAGGAATATTTGTTGTATGCTAGAAATGAAGTTAATGAGTATTAAATTAATTAATTCTACTTGATTTCATGTCTACAGGTATAAAGCAGAGAATGGAGAAAGATGTAGATGAAGTTAAGAAAACTGCACATTACTTAAAGACCAAGGTTGAAGAGCTGGACAAAGAGGTAAGTTCTCTACTGAAAATATTCCATTGTTTTGTTCAATACTTAGAATCTTTGTTATTTACTCCTTGACCTTGTCCCTTATTCCTTTATGCGTCGTAGAATTTGGCTAATAGGCAGAAGCCTGGTTGTGGAAAAGGATCAGCTGTTGACCGGTCAAGAACAGCAACGACAGTGTCAGTAATATCCATCTTTTTTATCGTGTCATACCTCAGACAATTTTTATGACTAAACCTTGAATCCCTTAATCTCACATTAACCGAAAGAAAGAAAGAAAGTTGGAAACATAAATGTACACAGATCAAGATGACTAAACCTGAGGTTTTTCCTCAAACAGGGATTACACTTTTGGGCTTCGAATAATTTTTATGATTCTTATTGGCTTAGTGTTTTTTTATTGAACCAAAACCAAACTCATCTGAACCTTGTTTTTTGTATTATATAATTCTGTAGTTCCTTGAAAAAGAAACTGAAGGACAAGATGGCTGAATTTCAGGTAGATTTGTCCCATGTTTCTTGTTTGAGATATTGTTTTTTGAGTCTCCTAATCTTCAACTTAATGGCTTTATTTGTCAAAATCTTTTCAGATCCTCAGAGAATCCATCCATGAAGAATATCGTGAGGTTGTTGAGAGACGAGTATTTACAGGTTTGAGCTCCTTACTTTTTTTATACAATTTGACACCATTGTATTTCTTTACCTTAATTTGGGGTTAGTAACATTATTTTTATGTATTCTCTGGTTTTCTTGATTGTCAGTAACGGGCAAACAAGCTGATGAGGAGGTAATTTTGTAACTGAATTTTCATTTATGGAAAAAAAAATCGTGCTTTAGAAGTTTTTCTTCTAATCGTTTAACAATGTACAGACAATTGACAGATTAATTGAGACTGGAGACAGTGAACAAATTTTCCAGAAAGCAATTCAGGAACAAGGACGAGGCCAGGTTTGTCCCTCCGTATTCTCCATTTCCTCAAATTTTAGAAAGAAATGTTGCATAGAACTAAAAATCCACTTGTTAGAAATTATAAAAAAAATGATTTTGTCATTCACGAATTTCGAGATTATTCTTGAGAAATTTAAAAAAAAAGCTGAATCTACATTGTAAGGTTATCTCTCACACATTTGAGTTATCTTTTGTAGATAATGGACACCCTCGCAGAAATTCATGAACGGCACGAAGCTGTCAGAGATGTTGAGAGGAAACTGCTTGATTTGCAACAGGTATTTACAGTTATTTCAATTAATTTGACTGTCATACATATTTGGCTTACCTCAACAAATTAGGCTAGAATGGTTGACATTTTAACAGTTAATCTAGAAATCCCCGTAGATTTTAACAAATACACAATTTGTTACGCATGCATGTAATCAATCATTGATATAGTTGAGATCACTGTAGTCAAGACCGAGTGCTATGATCAGAGAAAGATTGTTTTCATTGTTGGTATGGTCAAGATCGAGCTTTTTGAAGCAAGATCGTAAAAAACATGCTGGGCCTTTTTTTGGGCCTGAATTATATTTTTCATGTTTGTGTACATGTGTATAAATATATATGAAATTACCATTTTCCCATAGGATCTTAATTGCTGTGCTAACGATCCGAGTTTTATGATCTTTCACAAGACGATCGATCCTACTTAAAGTCTAGTGCTTGACTAGATTGGTTGAGATTTCATACTTTTTCCACTAAAGTGACAATAGCTTTAATTTCTTGGCAGATATTTATGGATATTGCAGTGTTAGTTGATGCACAAGGAGACATGCTTGACAACATAGAATCACAGGTTATTTTTCATCACTTTGTATATAACGTGCCATCATCATTGAATTAACAAAAAAAAAAGAAAAAAGAAAAAGTCTAACTCTAGACTCGTGTTTGAGTATAAATACGCAAACCTATTTGGTCAGTGAAAATTGAGAAGTATCTTTTGATCTTTAAAAGTTCTGCTAAAATAGTTGGTCGACGAGTTGGACCTATTTGTTTTCTATCAAATGTCGTCAAAATAGTCTGATAGGGAATGCAAAAGTTATACTATGACGAATTTGATCGACGAGTTATGTTTGTGATCAAATTTGGTTTCCATTGTTCTCGCATCAGGTTTCAAGTGCAGTAGATCATGTGCAACAAGGAAATAATACCCTCCAAAAGGCAAAGAAACTGCAAAGAAACTCAAGAAAATGGATGTGTATAGCCATCATGATACTTCTCATTTTTGTTATAATCATTGTTGTTTCTGTCATCAAACCATGGGTCACCAAACAAGGTGCATAGTTACTAATGGGTAACACATAATCACACAACTGAATGTTAATATTGCTATTCATAATTCATTTAAATTTGTGATTATTGAACTTGAAAGAAACATGGGAACAAATATTCAAATTTGTCTCCTTTAAAAGGAAAGAATGTACCTAACAAAATTAATCAACTTTACTCCATTCATTATACATGTCCTATGTATTTATCATACTTCAGCCTCTTCAAATTCCAAATATTTATTTGCTATATACTACTTCTGTTTTTTTATTATAAGTCGTTTAGATATTTTTTATACTTACTAAGAAAAATAATCGTTACTGTATGAAAAAGAAAAATTACAAAAGATTTTTTTTACAAAATAAAAATACAAATTTAAAGAATTGAAAGAAGGAGAATAAATATTTAAGATAGAATAAGAAAAATAACATTAATAATTAATTGAAATGGTATAACGACTTATAATTTGACACATATTTTTCCAAAACAAAACAACTCATAATAAAAAAATGGAGGGAGTACTATTTTCACATAAATGTAAAGATTTAGATTTTGTTGACATATATAGCTCGACCTTCTACTTGTATTAGTTGTGATTTATTTTTGAATTTAGAATAATGTAGATAGTAGGTTATACATTAATTTTTAGTTGACATAGATAATTTAACCTTCTACTCGTATTAATTGTGATTCAGGTTTGAATTTAAAATATCCTCGATAGTATGTTATACATACATTTTCGTCTAAAGGTTCGGATTTAAAATGTTGTTAATAGTATCAATTTTCGAACAGGATGTTTGTAACAAGTTTTATCATGCTATTTTGATTGTTAATATAATGTATTGAGCTGATTTTCTTAATTTTTTGTAATCTATTTAATACATTATTTGTGAAACTTTCCATCTTTTCCTTAAGATTTCAATTAAAAATGTTTAAGCTATGCTTAATCTTAAAATTGTTAACATGATTGGTTAAGTATTGTGGTCGATACAAATAAATATTGTTCCATTCGTCTTAAAATTAGTGTATATTTAAAATAAAAAATTATTTTAAAATATTTATCCCTTTAGATTATTAATATATTATTTATATTTAATTTCTCAATTATGTTTTATAATAAATATTTTTAATTTATTATTTTCTCACTTAATATTAATTTAAATACTCTAATAGTTAATCAAGATAATTTAATAAAATTATTATTCTTTCTCTTTTATTTATTATTATTTTTTAATTTATATAAAATGTTTAATTACGATAAATAATATATAACAGAGGAATAATAACCAACTTGTTCAATATTGTAATGCTTGTGTCATTTGCTTCTATCGTGAAATTCAACGACAAGACTTTGTTGACACGCAATATTTAATCAAATTTAATTTATTATAGTCACAAAAAGTGCATGTTTTGAATTATTGTATGGTTCAATAAATTACGGTGGTATAGTGTGTTTGTAGTGATTTAAAGTGTTAATAATTAGTTAGAGCCCCGTGTTTCTATCCAGATAAATTTTGTAAGGTATAATATTTTTTGAACCACATAAATAATGTAAGGTATAATATTTTTTGAACCACATAAATAATATGAATAAAAAGAAACTAAGAGTGATTTGCAGCATAAAAATGTGAATTGAGCAATTTTGGACTAAAAAAATTGAGTAATATGACAAAGGTTATAATTTAAGTTTATGATGAATGAAAATGCCTAAACAAAAATCAACAACATAATGTCAAAATAGGGCCCAATGTTGCATAAAATTGCACAAGGCTCAGCTACATGGGAGCTATATTTTGCACACCTCCATGCCGCTCAAAGAAATATGGAAGAGGAAGTGTATATTGGGAACAGTTGGTAGGGCTTGAGCATAAACAGGGATCCGCACACGTTGTACGTTTCTTTGTTGAATCGCTGAAGCTTTTACGGTTGATGGGAGTGGCGTTCATTTTGATTTAAGTAAGTGTGAAGTTTGTTGTTGTGTAAGGTCTTTTTGTGTAAGCCTTTTGTGGTGTAACAATTTGAAACTAAACTTATTTATTAATGTGTAAAACTATCAATGGACATTTAGTTGAATGAAGGTGTTTTTGAAGTGATTATGATGTGATGTGTTGAAATATTAAATTACATTTGTTAAAATATTAGATTAGATTATATTTAATATTTAAATATAATCTAAGTTATGTAGACTCAAGCCCAATTAAGATTGTATATAAATAGTTCTAATCAGGATCATTATTCGTACAATTCAATAATATAAATTTTTATTTCCTTTATTATTCTCTCTTTCTCTCTCCATTAAAAGTGTCTCACACACTAACAAATGGTATTCAGAGCTTCTGATCATTGTTCTCGATCGAGTTTTCAAGAATTTCACGTCAAAGATCGTGTTTTTAGGGCAAGTGAATAAACTGCTGCGAAAATGGCTAGTGATAAGGGCATTTCGAATTCTCTTCCAATGTTTTACGGCAAGAATTGAATCCGATGGAAAAAACAGATGCAATCTTTGTTTGACTTCCATGAAACCCTAAAAGTGGTTACCGACGACGTTTCTGCGTTGGCTGCAAATACAATCGGCGAACAGAAAAAAGTCTACAACAAAGTCAAGAAGAAAGATTGCAATGCTGCTTATTGCATTCAGACGGTGGTCGATGCTGCTATTTTTGACAGAATCTCTCATGCGGAAACGACGAAGGAGACATGAGATATTCTGGTGAAGTATTACGAAGAAGGTGAGAAAGTCAAGGTTGTCAAGTTACAAACCTTGTGTCGACAATATGAGTTGTTGTCGATGGGAGAAGATGAAAAAGTTGTAGAATATGTGTCGAAGGTTCAAAAACTCGTCCATCTTATGAAGGATTGTGGTGAAACCATAATTGATAAGATGATAGTTGAGAAGATAATGAGAACGTTGACATCTCACTTTGATCACGTTATCGTAGCTATTCAAGAATCCAACAATCTTGAAACCACTAAAGTGGATGATTTGGTTGGTTCGTTGGAGGCACATGAGATGAGGATTATCGAAAGGAAAGGAGTGCAAGACTCGATACAGGCTCTGCAAGCTCAGTCATGGAAAATGATGGTGGTTCCAACAAATTCAAAGACAAGTTCGATAAGAGTCAAAACAAGAAGTCTTGGTCGAAACCTCACAAACATCAGATCAAAGATGGAGCTTCTGAATCCTCGGAAGGAGGAGAAAGAAACTATCGAAAGGGAAAAGAAGACAAAAAAGGTGTGCAATGCTATAAATGTGAAAAGTGGGGTACGTAGCCAAGAATTATTGGTACAGAAAATACAAGGGATCGACAGACAAGGATGAAGGAGCGAACCTTACACGCCAAGATTCAAATGATTTTGAAGGTGGTATGGTGGTTATGGATGCAGTTGCAGATAACCATGTCGAATCCAAGATCTGGTTTCTCGACTCAGGCTGCTCGAACTACATCACTGGTCGAACAGAGTGGTTGGCAGATTTTGACGAGTCGAAGAAGAGCAAGGTAAAACTTGCTGATAATAGTTCGTTGCAAGTAGAAGGTACTGGAAATATAATCTTTCAAATGAGTAATGAAGGAAAAGCTATGATCAAAGATGTGCTTTATGTACCTGGAATAAAGTGCAACTTGCTAAGTGTTGGACAACTAGTCGAAAAAGGTTTCTCAGTTGTCATGAACGATGAAGTTTTGAAATTGTTTGACACCAAGAACAATTTGGTCTTAAAATCTTCGTTTTCGAAGAACATGACATTTAAGATTATGATCAGTTCAACTGAAGTTCAATGTTTGAAAATTGTTGTTGACCATAATGTCGATGAAGAAACTAATGAATTAGAGGTCGAAGGAATTGTTGAGAATCCAATTGAAGTCGAATAAGAAGCAATTGCTGACATTCCCGACACAGTCGAAGTCGAAGAGGTTGTGGCTGAAACAAGCTAAAGACCTCAAAAAAATAGAGTAGTGGTAGCATTGGCATGCAACCAAGGTTGGTCGATATTTCATTTTGATGTGAAATCAATATTTCTGAATGGTTCTTTAGACGAAGAGATCTATGTCACACGACCTTCAGGGTTTGTGATTCAGAAGGAAGCGGGTAAAATATATAAGTTGCACAAAGCGCTCTATAGTCTTAAGCAGACACCTACGATATGGAACAAGAAGATCGACTCATACTTAGTCGAATTGGGATTTGTCAAATGCAAATATGAGTATGATGTCTATGTTCAGGTTGTAGTACAAGATATAACAATCATCTGCTTATATGTCGATGACTTGCTAGTGACTTGAAATAGCTTGGAGAACCTGTTGGAGTTCAAAGAGCTGATGATGAAGGAATTTGAAATGCATGATCTAGGAAAATTGTCTTATTTCTTAGGTATGGAATTTCAAATGTCGAAGCAATGTATGATGCTACATCAAAGGAAGTATGTCAAAAAAATACTCAAGAGATTCAAAATGGATGATTCGAATTCTACATCCTCACCTGTCGAACCAAATGTAAAATTAGAGATGAATGGAGAGGAAGACAAAGTCGATGTAACTTTGTTCAAGTAAATTATGGGATCTCTGAGGTATGTGTGCAACATTCGACCTGCTATAGGTTTTGATGTAGGATTAGTAAACATATATATGAGTGAACCAAGAGTGTCACATATGAAGGCTGCAAGAAGAATCCTGAGATATTTGAAAGATTCGATAAACTGTGGAATACTATTTCGACGAGATTCTGAAGACAAAGAAGCAGTAGTTAATTGTTTTTCAGATGCTGATTGGTGTGGAGATAAGGAAGATCAAAGAAGCACAATTGGACATTTTTTCAAGTATTCAGTGCCCCAATCTCATGGTGTTCGAAGAAACAACCTGTGGTGGCATTATCATCTTGTGAAGCTGAATATATAGCAGGATCCTATGTTGCATGTCAAGTAATTTGAATCAGGTTTGTACTTGAAGAAATAAAGGTCAAAGTGAAGAAACCTCTTGTATTGCAAATCGATAACAAGTCAGCTATAAATCTGGCGAAGA